TTAATATTTAAATTTAAAATTTTATTATATATTCTAATATAATTAGTTTTAAAATTTAAATATCTAAATTTAATAAAATAATTTTTAAATTTTAAATTAAATTTTAATTAAATAAAACAATGTGATTTAATGTTAAAATTTTAATTATTTTTTAGAATCAATACTAATATATGCTTTTTCTATATATAGAATTATCCCCAAAATTTAGGTACAAATTAAAATGAGATAATTAATCCTCATCCTCAGGCCTTGACCCAATAATCACAACTCTTGATTAAAGTGAGAGTCACCTCGAATGTGTGTTCAATCCCCACAAATTTCATTTTCTATTCCCCAACTTGTCCTGTTCAAAAAAAAAAAATTAAAATGAAATAACCAAATTTCAGAAATATAAAATGAAAGTGCCACGGCGCTGATGTCTTTTGCTCTTTTTTTTTTTTTTGATATGATTATCCGGTATCCAGAAGCTCATTGGACCATTGACTAATTCGAATTCGAGCCGGACAGAACCCAATGGGCGGCAAAGCTCTCCCTCATGAGTTTTAACGGAGCTGCATTTCCAAAACTTAAACTTAAGACCTCTAGTTAAGTTGGAAGAGTTCCAGCCAACTCATCCACCCGCTCATGGGTAATGTCTTTTGCTCATTAGCTTTACGCTACTGGTCTGTCACCACCTCTGTGAGACGGGATAAAGTATATTTTTAGTCCCTCATTTTCATAAATTTAAAGGTTTAAACTTTTTATTTTATATTATGAAGTTTTTAACTCTAAACTTAAAAATGTTTAAATCTTATCTCTTAAGCTAACGAAATTCATTAACTTTCAATTAAAGTAAGAATAAAATATTTATAATATCAGTCATTAAAAATTAAAAATATAAAAAATTAGTCCCAAAGTTTAAAAATTAAAAAATTAGTAAATTAAAAATAATTAGTGGATGTTTTTGTCATATATATGAAAATAGTATTAGATATCTACAATTAAATTGAGTAATTAGCTCACTCTAAAGAAAGAAATATAATCGAGATTAAATAAAATTTTTTAGTCGTATTCTTCTAATCTCTCAGACTTTTTATCTTAATTCAACTAAGAAATTTTTTTTAATTTTAATCAGAATTCCTTCTTCAAATTGAGTTAATCGTTTGATTTATTATAAATATCTAATATTGTTTTCGTATATGTGGTAAAGATATCCACTAATTATTTTTAATTTAATAATTTTTTTAATTTTTAAACTTTATGGACTAAATTGTTATATTTTTAAT